ATACACAGTATTGAATACGTCATAAGCTAGTAGTGAATTGCATTCAGTTCAGTAAAACTGTATTAAATAAAGGTTAACTAATATATTTTCACCAGAAATTAAGTCTCTGCCAAACCTGTTCTTCCTAAAGGCTTCATACTGATTCTGATACTGACAATTTTTTTCAAACCAAGATACATGAATTCTCTATAGGTGATTAATTATCCCATATATGACACTGAATGCCAGTGTTCTGGAAGTTGCTCTATATGTCAGATGATAGATCTATAGAACCGACAGAATGTGTCTTCCCCCCCCCCCCCCCATCCAGGGGCTCGAAGACAGGACAAATATTGCTTTTAAAAAAAAAAAAGGAGGTGCTGGGGCATGGGGGGTGGGGAGAGGGTGGTTGGGTTATGGGAGGGGAGGATATGTGCTATAGTGAGCGCTGTGAAATGTGTAAACTGATGATTCACAGACCTGTACCCCTGGGGCAAATAATACATTATATGTTAATAAAAATAATTTTTTAAAAAATATATGGGGATTAAAAAAAAAGAGGGAGTGTAGGGTGTTCTGCAGTACTGTGTGTCATCGAGATTTGTAGAATTTTATAGCTAAATTTAAAGTTAAAAGAAGGAAGCTTTAGAGGTCTTTTCCAAGTCCCTCATTTTATAGATAAAGGAGTTAAAGACCAGAGAAGTCAAGCCACTTTTAGCCAGTTTTTCACTGAGCTAAAACTAGAAAGTAGACTTCCTGACCAGTTGAAGTGCAGTGTTAATTTCATTGCCTTCCAGAGAGGCCAGAAGTTCTCCCTCTGTGACTCATAATAACACATGGAGCACGTTCCTCTGTCTTTTAAGCAGGAGTAGAAGATGTGGGAAAATATTCCTGCATACATACGGGCATACTCAGCCTGTATACTTCTGGTCCCCAATCTAGAACTTCCGTCTTCTTTTCTAAGCTCTTAACTTCAGTCTTAAAGCAAACAGCAATCCAACGGGAGAAATAAATACTTCCTCTGTTGGTCCTCAGATTCTTCCACCCAATGGATGGAAACTGAGGTTCAAGAATTAGTACACCATTCCTTAAACAAGTTAAAGACAGAGAGAGATTTACAGAGATAGATTAGGTTTTCAGGATTTGTTCTTTCTCTATGGGAATGAATTTAGGTTTTTGTGCCATGGTTACCCTCCTGGTCTGTAGTCCACAGGAACCATGGTACCATGGTTGTCCTAGACCACTTCATCCACAAGTAATAAAAGCTATATTTATTAAGCATTACTATGTGCCAGGCACTGTGCTGAGCACTTTCTGTGCCTTATCTCATCATTTCACATACAGTGATAGGTATTATTACATGGGACTCAAAAGCAACAAAATAAAATAGACATTTTCTCTCTTAAAAAATGCATACAAATAAAAAATGGCATTTTCTCTACAACTTCAGATTTCTGTATGTGTTAGGCAAATTTAGTTTCACCAAATGGGGAGTATTTTTTAAATTCCTTTGTTGAAAATGCTAATATCACCAAATAATTAGTTGCACTGATAGTTCATTGAATCTAATGTACAGCATGAATATTTAATGATACAGAAAATTTGTTCACAAGATTTAAACTTTCAGGGGAACTTCGACTTATAAAAATTCACATTTTATTTAGATTATAGCAGAAGGCTTTCACATTAATATGTCCTAATTCTAAAATGATTTTTAGAAGTAATTTTGAGCTATTTTTTAGTAGGTTACAGAAAAGCAAGACTAGCAAATGTAGTAAGTGTCTATGTTTGGCTGGGTTTTTTCCTAACAGAAATTTTATTACTCTTCTAATTGAAATATTGTTGACACACAATGTTACATTAGTTTCAGGTGCTCAACATAGTGATTCAGTGTCTCTATATGTCACATGCTATGTTACACTTACCTGTGTGTACATATGCTACACTTACCACAGTGTAACGACCCTCTGTTATGATGTACCATTAGCTATATTCCTTATGCTGTACCTTTCATCCCTGTGACTTACTCCTTCCATAACTGGAAGTCTGTACCTCGCACTCCTCTTTGGCTGTCTGTTTATTTTAAATTAACTTTTTTGATTATCTTTTAGGAAAGAAGTCTTCCTAGGCATGTAAACTTGAGTGTATATTTATACTTTATTACCTATAAAAAATGTAACCAGAGCCTAGAGCAACGTTGGGCACACAATAGACATTCAAATAATGACTCATTGAGTGAAAAGAGGGTACTGTGCACTTTGTACAGATTGTTGGTGATTCTAGCCACTCTATTTTGGTATAGAACATTGGTGGTCTCCAGTCTTTACACCAAAATTTCTTCTCCTTTGAATATGCCATAATTCTTACTGGGTGCTGCTTTCTTTTATGATCACTTTCCCAGACTTCCCTGGGTACATATTGTCTCATTTTCTGTTTTTAAACTTGATGCTTTAAATTCATCAAGCATTTGTTGCACCAAGAGCAAAAATGAGAAAACCTGGTACTCATAGATTCTAGTAAAATAACCAATATAGGAGCACAGTCCTGGTTTGCTACCTGAGCTAATAGATGCATGCAACAGGAGCCCATCATTTAGGTAGGTTTTCTAAACTGTCCCAAACTGCAAGTTTTTGATACACTCCTCACTGGGAGTAGAGCTGACCTATCAGCATCTCCTAGGGAAGATACATAATTTTTGAGTTATCAAGTGATTCTAATATGCCCTGCCTCCCCTCTCCACAGAGAACTGCTGATGTGCAAGAATAAACATAGTACAGGGAAACAAATGACTGGACAAGCTTCCAGAGAAGGATTTCTAAAGGGATCTGCTATCTGGTTCTTGGGTTGTTGTTGTTTTTCTGTTTTATTTCGACATATATTCTACAAAGATTTAATATGTGCTGGACATTATACTAAATGCTAAGGCTATGGTAATGAGCAAGATTCCTGCCTTCGTGCAGATTACATAAGGGAGGCAAGAAAACACTGTCAATTACTCGGATCACTGCTCCGAAAGAGAATACAATGAGTAATGAGATCATATCCTGAGGGGCCTAAACAAATCTGGGTCAGAGGGGTGGGGGACTGAGATAAGAACGTGAGCAACCATTCGTTGCCTAGGCCTTAGAGAATGGGTAAGAGTGAGTAGAGAGACAAGATTTTTGACCAAAAAATGGCAATTGTTTAAAGATTTCCATTTGAAGAGGTCATAGGCAGAGGATATATTTATCAAATGGATATAAGCTAATTTAATTTAAAAGCATCCTAAGAGGTAAGATTCTCTTCCCCTCTAACTCGGAGGTCCCTAAGGAGGCCCCCATAAACACAGTAGTTGTACTAGTTAGTGATAACGCTTATTTGGGGCCACATGAAATGTATTTATGAATTTGAGACTTGGGGGTGTGCTGCTGTCTCTCCTCCAGCCAATTGAAAATGGAATTCACCAAGTATTCAGATGGAAATGTGTTTATGTGCTTTAGTGTCTTAGGGTAGAATGCTACCTTTAGCATTATAATGTATAGCAGGAAACCATCCATTTATTCATTCCTGCATTCAGCAACCATTGAGGGAGCACCACTAAGTGCTAGAGATATAAATGAGTATGACGAACACCGCCCTCAAGGAGCTACAGTGTGGTGAAGGAGATGGTCATAAAAACACACCTCTGTGCTACCACCTAGGAAGGGTAAAAGGAGAGCTGTGCAGAGGGCAGTATTGACTGTGATATCCACATGTCCTTATGGGAAAATACAGAGAGTCAAAAGCACAACCCAGAAGTAGTAGTATTCAAAATAATAATTTGCACGCCTGGGTGGCACAATCGGCTAAGTGTCCTACTCTTGATTTCAGCTCAGATTGTGATCTCAGGGTGGTGAAATGGAAGCCCACATGGGGCTCTGCACTCAGTGGGGAGTTGGCTTAGTTTCCCCTCTCTCCCTCTCTGTCCCTCCCCCCCTGCACTCGCACTCACAAGTGCTCAGGGTCTCTCTCTCTCTCTCAAATATATGAATAAATCTTAAAAAAAAAAAGAATATTTTGCAGATTGCATTGGTACAGGGTGAAGAGGGGAAGAAAAACCATCTTAGTCAAAAAAGGTACAGATGATTTTTCCCCCAACCTAGGCCTTACTAACCTCTGGTAAATGTTCCACTTTGCCTTTCTTTCTTTAGTTTTCTTCTTCTTTACACTTACTCACCCCACAGGAAGCCAAATGTTAAGTAAGGAAATGGTCTTTTTGACAAACATCATTAAGTGGTAATCCTGGAGAGTCAAGGGAATGATTATGGCTCCTCTTTACTAAATGTAAAAGTACTCTCTGGTTTAATAACATGAAAGAAAGCACCATCCACATTTCTTTATAACAGGGACAAAATAGATCATACAGACTCTTGGAGAACAAAGCCGGTCTGTACAACTTTGAATTCAGCACAGTTCTTCCCTTCAGTTTGTGAAACGTGTTGATCTTTTTAAGGTCTGACTTTATGTCAGGTGGTGGGGATGAAAAAATGACTAAGACATTGTCCCTGGCTTTCAGGATATTGTTCTGTAGTGAGATTAATAAACATGTAAAATAAAAAGTACAGTTTGAAATTGCTGTCATTGAAGAAATTACCTAGGGTATTGGAGTACAGGCAATAATAAATTCTGCTTGAAGAAGTCAAGGAAAGCCTCACAAATAAGGTAACATTTGACTTGGATTTTGAGGGATGAATAGGAGCTGACCCTCACCTATTTTATATGTAAGTAAATACACTTTTCTTTCTTTGCTGAGCTCTTAGATTCTTTCACCTTCTCAGCAAGATCATGCATTAATATTTTTCAGTTAAAAAAGTGAATAGTGTAATTTTTACTGATAGCCTGTGCTATTACCGTGAAATAAAAACCTGAGCGAAGCTGGAGTAGAAAAACCAGACTTTGAGCTTGGTGGAGGGGAGGGGGGGCTTTTACTGTGTGGGTGCTAGGACTGGGGGAGAGCAGCAGTGATTCAGTGATACATCCCTGTCATTTCTCTCCCTCTCTAGCCATCAGGTTCGGGCGGATGCCGCAGGCTGAGAAGGAGAAGCTGTTGGCAGAGATCTCCAGTGATATCGACCAGCTGAACCCAGAGTCGGCTGATCTCCGGGCCCTGGCAAAGCATTTGTATGACTCATACATAAAGTCCTTCCCGCTGACCAAAGCAAAGGCGAGGGCAATCTTGACAGGAAAGACAACAGACAAATCAGTTAGTTCTCTTCTGCTGTCTTCATTTGGGGGTGGCTGGGTTTGTGGCGGTGGTTGTTGTCTTGTCTTTGAGAAGATCATTCACCCTGTTACACACACATGTGGGTTGTGTTCAGCTGTTGGCTATTAGATATCGAAGAGTGAAACACAGGAAAGGAAATGTTTTCAGATAGGATAAGTAAACCTTATTTTGAAAAGGGAAAAAGTCCTTCAAGTTCTCCTAATAAATTCTGTGAGAAAACTATAAACCCCACCCTCCTTCCTGCTGCCCTCCTTCAGGACCCATCTCTTTTCTCAACATCAGAGTAACTGGCCACAGCTGCATCCATTCCAGCAGCCCCGCTTGTCTCTGGGAGTGGCCTAACCTCGGTTTGGAAAAGGTATTTAGCCCCGTTATTTTACAGTTCAGGAGAACAGCTAGAGTTACTTAGGATGTTCCATGTGGAGCATAAAAATACATGTAGACATTATACTACCTTTCTTTCCTCATAGCTCTACCGATGGATTACGTATGTGAATTTTATCTTCTGTGAGGCTCTGAGCTGCCTGGGTTGCTCCTCCCATAGATTCTCAAATATCTGCAGGCTCCTTGATTACAGTTTAGAAAACCCAGAAATTATAATTGTTACTGAGTCAGATGTTCCAAAGCAGAAGTCTTTCTGAATAGGAAGCTGAGAAAGCAACATGAAATCTGATTAAAACAAGACACAACACCTGAATTTGAGTTTCAGTTATGCTGTCAGCTTGCACTGTGACGTGTGTCACATCTCTGTCCCTGTTTTCACAGGCAGGGGTCTGACTTTGACGGTGCTGTCTGCAGCAGGTTCCTAGGGTTATAAGAAGTGCAGAACACATTCAGAAGACAAGGTCCCAGCCCTTGAAAATCCTTTTGTGCTTTTATTTATTTTAAATGAACACCTCCAGGAGATGCATACAATTGTGTAACTTTGTCCCCCCCTCCATTATATGTGGGGGGAAATATCAGCCTTCAATGTATTTTGAAGACGATCTCAAGATGTGATTTTTTTTTCCTTTCAGCTATAAACCATTAGAGTAGTGTCAGCTAATAGTAAAAGAAAACCGTGGGATATTGCTGTGTAAAGAGTCAAATGCGAAGGAGGACAATGAGTTTTCTGACTGCAAGAGAGGTCACAAACCTGAACAGTATTAGATGTGTATCCGATTCTTCACAAAGTATCATACACGTTCATTATGTTCAAGACACACAGCCATCTGACAGCTGCCATTATTATCCTGTTTTTAAAGATGAGGAGACTAACGTCCTAAGAGGTTAAACGTTTTGCCCTGAAACCACACAGCATGTGGAAGAACCCTGTGATGCGGGATTACTAACTTCTACCTCAGTGCATTCCGAGCAGGGTTCGACCTCCCAGAAGCTCGTCTTCCCGCTGGCTGGCGATGAGCCGCGTGGAGAGAGACACTAGGAAAGCTTCACCTTGGGAAAACAACCTGCGTTATGATTTATTTTTAGCAGTTTTTAGAACAGCATGAATCTTCTACCTTGCTCTGCTATGCTGATATAGTCACAACCAGGAAATTCCTGGTGTTTGCTCTTTTGTTCTTCCCAAATTTTAGCGTCTAGGACAACTATCTTCCATAGGGGTAGGACTACAGACTCTAGGCCCTAGACAAGCTGAGTTCATGTATCCGTTAAATGCCCCCTGAAAAAATGAGGGAGCAGCAAAACAAAAGCAAGCAAAGACCTCTATGTCACTGATGTGACTGTAGAAAATCAACCGTGTTTATTTGAGGGGAAAGAAAGAGAAGGAAAACTGGTGGCCTGACTAAAAGGGGTTAAGAGCTGAAGGCAGATTGCCGCTGCTTGCTGAGATCCTGTGTTGAGTAGGGACCTGGAGGCTGGGAGGCTCAGAGCTGGGAAGGGAGCACTGACAGGGAAAGACTCCGAATGCACACTGTTTACTCCACAGTTTTGCCTCGGGCCATTTAGTTTCCAGGAACTGCTTTCCTACCTTCTCTCTATCTCCCAGTCCAGACCTGCAATCCATGCTGGAAATCCTATCAATTTAGTCGTACCTGAAAGTTAGGAGGAAGGCATTAAAAAAACATTTTTTCCTCTAGTAGTCAAGAATTTAGATGTACACTACTGGTGACCTGCATAGTCTCTTATGTGTCACTGAAGGGCAGAGAGCCCAGTCCACTGTAAATCACTTTAAAATCAAATGCCAATTGGCAATTTGGCTCAAAATCTTTGAGTTAAAAATAAGATAATTGTAGGCTCCTTATGGGATAAATAGGTATTATGGTATTTTAAGAGAAAGGGCTGCAAAATGCTTGATTATAGGCTTTGCAAGTTCAGAAGCCAAATGTTTGTCATGTTTTCCCCTACAGTAACTAAGACTGTGCTTTTGCCCATAATAGTTACTCAGAATGTATTTGTTTAATTGAATTAAAAACTGTTGCCTATGCCCCTTTGAAATTCTGGACTTTGAACAGAGAGCCTCTAACTAGCCCAATGTTTGCTGACCAACCTGGACATCATTAATGGTCTGGATCGAGGCAGAATTGCCTCTTGTTAGGATCTGGAAAGGAAAGCGAGACTGGGCCAAATTAAAATAATCCACTCCCTGATTACACAAAACCTGAAATAGAATTGTTTGGCTCTCTCGTTTCTCCTTATCTTGCAAAATCAAATTAAGCACTAGTGGAAAGAAATAGTTCAGAGAGAATATGGGAGAGGGGAAAAAAAAATCCAAAATGTGATTCCAATGAGACTAGAGATTTGTTCTTTATCTGACGTGGTCATGTTATTTATTTGATAGCATCTCTCTCAGGGGTGTTATGTTATCTCTTGGCCAAGACTTAATGAAAGTTAAGATTTGCATTGATAGGATAGGTCGTGCAGAAGTATGGACTCTCGAGAGGGTGGGGGATATGGAAAAGTGGCCATGGCTGGTGCAGTAGGACAGCGTGGGTCTCATTATAGACCCTGCTTGAGATTGATGTCATTCGTGTTGGTTAGGCCAAGCCTGGGGGGAGGCTGCTCAGCATAAAGGATGGCCAGTTACCCAGAGTCTTTGGAAGAGGAAACAACTCTGCTGAAGTGGCCATTCTGTAAATTTATCCTACTGCTCCATTTAACCATTGCCTGTTCTGTCTTATTTGGAGATATACCTGCATTTGCATTTGCCTCCAGGCCAAACAGGGCTTCTTGCTTCTCAACTAAACTTCTCTCTCCTGTATCTTATTTCCCAGTGCCCCTCACACCTTTCAAAACAGATAAATGAGCAGATATGTGCTTCTGCTTCCCTCCTGTCTTTTTAACTTTGACATTGCATCTTCAGGGTATGATACCCCTACTTTTCACTGCCTTGCCTGAAAGAATGATGCTTGGGAGTTTTAGGCTCAGGGCTAGATGAATATGGAATTGCTGGATATAGCTAAGCCGAGAAGAAAGTTTACTAACAGGAAGCCTTTTAGCCACCCTGTGGTGGCACTGACTCTCCCTCAGTCTCTTTCCCTTTCAGTGGCTTGTAGCAGCCAGCAGTTTCATTAAGAAATCCCTCTGAACTCTGAAAACCATGACTCTAGAACCAGGGTGCTGTGTTTCATGATGGCAATTTGAGAACCGAATGGACTTTGGAAGTTCCCAGTGTTTGAATATTACCCCGATGCGATGAACGCACTGGGTGTATCATTGTCACATGATCCCATGTTTGTTGGTAAAAATAAACAAAGAGTGGTTTTCAAAAGCCATTTTCAGTGCCATGGTTTGTCATAAAACAATAAATAGAAAAACTCTTGGTGCGCCTGCCAACTTTTCATGCCATATCTGAGAGATGGTGAGGCCCTTGCTGCACTCTATCTGCCAATAAGGAATAAAACTCGTTATTTGTACTGTATTGGACTTTGGGTCCCAAAGCATCACATTGCTTCTGATGGGTACATGTAGAGTCACTGTTTTTATAATTACGAGAGCAAACTGGTGCCATCGTAAAACTGGTTTTTCTAAATAGTGTGTGAAATATGAAACAACTGAATAATAAAACCAGTTTGGAAATGTAAACTTTAGTGAAAACCATTCTGTACCCATTCAGATGTTCCCATTCTAAAATTTACAGTGGCTGTCAAACCCAGTAACTCTCAGAGCTATTGGAAAGATATCTGTTCTTTTCTGTCCTACACTTAGAGCTGAACAAAGGTGGTTTCTTTCCCCTTCGTCTGTGGAAAAACCTGAGTGAGTCGGACTTTGCTCCCCTGAGAAGAAAGATACCAGACAAACCATCAAAGAGAGACTTAGGGGCCCCAATATAAATAAAGAGCAGGCTAGTAGTGCTGACTTGTTTGGGTGGCTAATGAAGAAATGGGGTTCCTGGGATCCTTAATCCAGATATTAATGTGAATAAAATAAATTCCTTTATTGTCAGGACCATCAGGATTAGCCAAAGATATAACAGATCTGAACCAATAGTGTTCTTTCAGACAATAAATTAAAAAGATTGAAGAAAAGCATGGGGATTTTTTTTTTTTTTTGGTAATGATTGGTTTGCCAGCTGAGTAATACTTTGGCTGGCAATGGATGGTTTTTTAAGAGCCGTGGTTATATGCTAGTTCATTGGAGTGTGAATAATTCTTCCCATTAAGCTTTTATTTGTCTTAAATCTCTAAACCATGCAGGAAAACAGAATTACATTTGAGAGATTGTTCAGACTTCCCTTCTGTCATGTCCAGCACTTAACTAGCCCTTCTAGGAAATAATGGCTCAGAGGCACTGCCTCCAAGACCCCACCATGGAAGAGGTTGGGTTTAAAAGCCAAAATTTCTCCCAGGATAGTCATTTTATTTAAAGAAAGAATAGTGGGGAAGTCCTGTAGAAAGCAAGAGAAAGGAAAAAGAACTAGTCATGAGTCAGGAGATCTAGTTGCAGTTCACGGTTTGCTGTAAGTAGTTATTTGACTTTGGATCGTCTCTTGACTTCATTCAGTGTATTTGTACCTCGTCAGAGAATGATGATGTGGGTGATTTCTGAAGACCCCTTTGGTTCTGTAAATCCCATGGTTCTCAACAGGAGGAAAATAGAAAGGGACAAAACCAGAAGTTAAAGAAACCTAACCAATGCATTTTGATGAACAGTCACCCACTATAGCTAATCCAGGGGAACCAAATCTCTTAAAGGATGAAAGCCAGTCAGAAGTATAAAAAAGGAAGAAGGAAACAAAATGAAGAAGATAGGCCCTAAGAATTCAGTTTCTCTTCCTTGAGCCTTTGCTCTAATCTGTCATGAAAACTAAGGATATCAAAAGAGCTCCTTGAGAGAGGGCAAAATATTTTCCAGGCCAGTTTGAACTCTGACATGGTTACCAAGGGATGGTCTGTGAGAGGGTAGAGCTGTCTGTTATACTCATTCCAGTCTCCCAAATTGAAGCAATCATCAGGACAATCTGTGCTTTATTAGTTGACTTTCTCGTTTATCTCCTTTACCTTGTTATTTTATTATTCAAAAAGAGCTGTAAAGTTAAAGCATTCATGCATAAGCCCTTTCATAACTTGTATATTAAAATGCTGATGTTATGGATTACTAAGGAACACTATTGTTCTATTTCTCCAGTCAAAAAAGCCAACTTTTATTACTGTACTGTATTTTCGTTATTAAGCCAGCTTCCCTCATGATCGTTGTGTTATACAATAGAGGCATGCAAGAGGCCAGTAACTAAACTTAATAATCTGTATAAAATAGTACCTTTAATCCCGTCCTGGCTTTGATATGCGGAGCCATTTTTGAAAATGAAAATATATCAAAATTAATTATATTCGATGTATCTCTCCAAAGAAATGTAATTTCCTCTTACAGAGACTGTTTTTGCTTCCCAAGAAAAACATCATGTTGAAGTACAATTTTCTTCATGTCAGTCTCACCTTTTTCTGGTCTGTCCAGCATAGGAGAAGTACAAGTATCTTAATGGCCAGAGGCAGACTCACTGGGAAGTGAATGAAGCTTAAGTGTCAGGGCTTGGCCTCAGCGGAAACCTCTTCCAGTGCTGCCAGAAGGGTCTGAGTAGTTTTGCTTTTTATTGAACCCAACAATTGTCTAGATGTGCCCAATGATTGTGTGCAATCCCGGCCCCACAAAACCTGGATCTATCCCCATAGTGTCCCAGATGTTCGTAAATGTTCTTTCCTTTGAAGAAGAAATGCTTATCTCGCCCTTTGATACAGTGTCTGAAGATAAATACATCGTTAGCTCCAAACTAGAAGTATAAAGTCATTAAGACCAAATTTGAGGATGATGTAATGGCAGATCATCAGATGATACCATACAAGCTAATAGAACATGGAAGGCTTCCTTTTGATTTGTAGAAAATAAATAAGGAAGTGAAATTCATTTTCTATAGAATATTTTACCAGAAGTGTAATATTAAGTTAATGATCCAAGATAAATTGTGCAGGTCAAATTCCACTTGATTTTAAGTGGTCAGCTTTCTGTAAATCAGGCAACTCTCTATCTTTTCCCTGTTTCGGGCGTGGGAGGTCCCAACATGAAATGTGTGAGTTAAGTGTTGGCAATCTAAGAATAGGTGAGTTGGTGGCAAAGATAGGCAGATCTCCGGTCACCTCATGTTTGGTGATCACTTTTGCAGTTTGAGAGATTTACACAGAGGCTGAAAGTACCTATGCAGACTTCAGAAACTCAAGGAAAACAGCAAAATCTTAGAAAAACAAAACAAAAAAAATCCACTTGGCATTCATTTGCATGTGAATACCCAGAATTCTTTACCAGTTCACCACTTCTTCAAAAATGCTGAAGGGATTTAAAAAAAAAAAAAAAAAAAAAAAAAAAAAACTGGAATGGTTTGGCATGATGGTGGGGACTGCTGATTCTTTTCTCTGTCCTTGAGTGTTTACTGCCAGGAAATCCTGACCAACATCGATTGCCAAGGGGTTAAAGTCACATTGTTGTTAAATTGGGAGAGAAAATTAGCAGGATTTTGTGCCCTATGTTCAACTATCACAGAATTTCAAAAACAGGAACCTGGGGCTTTATATGAGGGGACAGGGGAAGTCAAGGGGAAGAGTCACAGGGTGACTTATCAGGGCATAGTTCCAGATAAATTGCTTACATGGAGGTGGAAGAATTTCATGCATACATTCTGTGCCAAGAAGCCAAATGGTTGAGCAGAAGCTCGTCCGGGAGTTCAAGTGGGCAGCTCTGGGTACAGTCTTTCCATATGTGAAGAGGGGATGATTTATATTCATGTTATTTTGTTATTAGGTCTGTATGGTATCAATACCATCAGATTCTCATGGCAGTGAAGAAAGACAGTATATCATTGATAGAAATTATAATGTGCTGCAGAACTCCTAGAGGACAGAAACCACATTTTCTGTAGGTTCTATAAAAGCAAGTCTTTCTCATGATTAGAATCTGACCTTCTGGGGAAACAGTACATTTTAACTGATGTGACTGATTAGCTGCTCTTTTTTTCCCTCTATTGTTAATAATATCAATCCTGAAGTAGAAAAAAGGAAGCAAGCAGAATGTCCAAAAACATAGTAAGCATTATTTGTTCCTAATTTACTTGAAGAATTAGTTAGACCCACCAAGCAGACTTACTCTTGGGTTCCTGCATCTGCCATCCTTTGAGGTTGGCTAAATGATACCATTGAAGTGAATTTTTTGGTTAAAAAAGGTAAGAATTTCTGGAATAATTCCAGTGAATGGTGTTGAAATAAAATGCAGGCTTGGAAGTCTACTCAACATCTAAGGGTCCTTAGCATTAGTGTTATTTCTTCAGTGTAGACCAGACTTTATAGGTTGGTGAAAATCATAGACTTGTGTACAGATTCGTAGTTAGAATCTCCAAACCAGTGGGTCTTAAAGGTGCTTACTGCTGCCATTCATTATACAGCTTCCTCTTGCCCATCAGGAGGGAATTCTCAGCATCTCTGCCTGAAGAAACTCTAGTACATCTGAGACTTCATGTTCAGTGTACATGCATGTTCATGCATATCCACATGTACACACACACACACACACAGAGCTTCTGAGAAAGGCAACTAGAAAATCTTCAAGGGAAGAGATGGAAACATCCAATGTAATCTGTTCCCCTCAGTTGAGAAATTTGAGCCTAGGAAAGATAAATGACTTTCCTAACATCACATACTTAACCATAGAGCCAAAGCTAGAGTGCAAATACCCTAACTCTTATTCCAGTGCTTTTGGGTAGACACTTACTTGAATGGGAGTGGGGGTTTAACTTCTATAGTTCAGTGTTTCCAATGTGTATAAAATGCTGCCCCTTTTCAATCAGAGTAGCCTGGAGAATCAATTTCACAATGACCACATCCCTTTGGTCAATTCTATACAAGGAAATGAAAGCGATCACTTAATGACTAACAACTTACTTTTGAAGGCAGCCTGTTGCAGACTTGAGTAACTGATGCATGTGTTTTATTGATTATTTGACCCTTACAGACAGATATTTTGAAAAATAACTTCAAAACCCTTTTTTAATTTTGCCACTTTATGCAGTGCTTACCCACAGGCTTTAAACATCTGGCTCTTTCTGAAACAGATTGCTTCCAGAACATTAAGAAAAGAAATAGACATATTCTTGGCTCAATATTCCTCATCTGCTTTCAAACTGATTTTTTATAGTTAAGTATATTTTACATGCACACTGCGTTTCATTTGAGATCTGAGTAGATTTAATCTAAAACTGCAAGATTACTTTATGTTCAAGTGGGTGTGTTCAACCCTGAGTTGCCGAAATGTTTCTTTTTCATTGAAAGAAGTTTAAAAACACATTCTCTTGAAAGCCAAGATAAACAACAGATTTTGTATGATTTTACAAGTCAGCAACAAAGACTCTCCAAACAACCAAAACTGGAACTATTAGCCAGTCACAGGTAAAAGTGTTGCTCTATAAGTTGAAAGAAAAGAAGAACAAGCTTGGTCAAATATGTTTGGTCCCAGAAGACAATTAAGAGGAATAATCAGGAGGTGAAAATATTTTCTCATTAAGTATTTTCTACCTTAAAGATTTCAGTTAACAAAGCAAATGTGTATAAAGAAACTAGAACGGTATTCACACTGAATTGGAAATCTCCAACTCAGCCTCTCCCCCCCCCCCACTCTTTTTTGCAGCCATTTGTTATCTATGACATGAATTCCTTAATGATGGGAGAAGATAAAATCAAGTTCAAACACATCACCCCCTTGCAGGAGCAGAGCAAAGAGGTGGCCATTCGCATCTTTCAGGGATGTCAGTTCCGCTCAGTGGAAGCTGTTCAGGAGATCACAGAGTATGCCAAAAATATCCCTGGTTTTGTAAACCTTGACTTAAATGATCAAGTAACTCTCCTAAAATATGGCGTCCATGAGATCATTTACACGATGCTGGCCTCCTTGATGAATAAAGATGGGGTTCTCATATCGGAGGGCCAAGGATTCATGACAAGGGAATTTCTAAAGAGCCTGAGAAAGCCCTTTGGTGACTTTATGGAACCCAAGTTTGAGTTTGCTGTGAAGTTCAACGCACTGGAATTAGATGACAGCGACTTGGCGATATTTATAGCCGTCATTATTCTCAGTGGAGGTAAGATTCATCTTTCAATCTGCTGTGAGAGAGGGTGGGACGGTGGTGGGATGGCTGGAAGAATTTTGACTTTCCTTAGCATTTGTCCTTTCTCTGTACTTACTGCACTTTCCGACGGAAAATGCCAGTGGCATGATGCCAGGAGAGCATCACTACACAGGTAAAATACCAGGAGAGAAGATCATAGATTTGTTGTTGGAAGGCTGTGGACAACCCAGGTTTTTCTTCTTTTATCCTTCATAATATTTTTTCAGCCAAATCCAAATGTGAAAAACAAATGCCTTCTTCTCCTTTTTTTTTTTTTTTTCTTTTCTCTATCTTTTCCATTCCCTTCTCTATTTTTCCCTTCTCTTCCCATCAGGCCAGTCTGTTCTTCAAGTCATTTAAGTAATGACATGTACAACTTTGCTGGAGTCAGTGCTCACTTGACATAGAGAAAGTTCCTGCCCTACCATCAGGAAGATACTACTTTGAATTGCTTTCCTAATATCAGGAATCAAGGGATATTTATCTACTGACTTCTACCTCTTCTCTCAGGTAGATTTCTCTGATGGCTTCCCTTAGAGTACCTTTGGGAGGTAATTGGCTATGATTAAGAATATAATCTGAACCAAAGAGCACAGAGCAGAGAAATAAATTGAGTGATTTAGCAATTCATTGTATTTTTGGCCTTGCAAGTACATGATCTAACTAACCAACTCCAAAAGCCAGGTTTTATACTAAATGCTACTTTCATTGGCTTCTCCACACATTTCCAACTTATGTAGAAGAAAGTTTTACTGTCATCTCCCTTTATAAAAGTTGTTTTTAAGCAGTGAATTTTCATTACTGAAATGGGCTTCAGGCAAGCTTTCTGTGTGTCCTCGGCAGAATATCATCTGTTGGCAAAAGCCGACGTGGGGAGGGATGGTGGTCCCCTAGAGGTAAACTGTGCCTAACTATATAAGATATTGTAAAGAACACACTGCACTCTGTCCTCCTTTGTTGTCCAGTTACTTGAAAGCATAATGGTTCTGAAATCAGGTGCAGCAAAGCTGTGTTAAGTGCCTGCCGTGTCCTAGGTGGTATTCTAAGCACATAGTACACGTTCACTTAATTCCCCAGTCCAGCAAGGTAGGTATCATTTTGCAGACAAGAAAATCAGAGGACTGAACGTTTTAGTCACTTGCCTGGGGCTACCCAGCAAACAGGAGATGGGGAGCCAGGCTGATGAGCTCGGGCAGTCTGGGTCCAGGGTCTACAGTAATCCCACCCTTTACGTGGCTTGGGTGCAGCTAGATGTCATTAGGGCACACAGGCTAACTCTGTGGCCTCTGGTGCTACAAGTTATAACTCATATAAAAGCGACGTTTGGGGGAGTTATGTTTAATGTAACAAAAATTACTCTCCAACACGTTTTAATATCTTGGCTGAATCTACTTAAACAGATCAACACTTGATCCTCTGGGATCCATGATTAATTCAGCAAAGAAGAGTGAGATTCTAGTTTATTTGAGGTTCGTTAGGAGAAGAAGCTTAAATTTTGAAAAACCAGATGAGAAAATGAGTCGTTATGGCTTAGCTAATATTTTGAGGCACATTTTGTTTTTAATGAAGAATAGAAATAGGATTATTAACATTTGATATATTTCTAAGATTTTTCCCAGGCATGCTCTGGAGTCCATGTTTTATATTCCTTTTCTCACTTAGTCATTTTCCCCCTGTCATTACATACTCTGTTCATATTTTTCATTAATTTTTGAAAACAAAAGTAATACTTGGTCATTTTCATAATTCAAAGAATACAGAAAAGTTGAAGTAGAAATTATAGTTCTCTGGCCTCAGAATAAAATGAGATTAACGAAGTCCTATTTCTCCTCCTGAAAAGTTTCTATGCATGTGCTAGCATATCTATGTATACACACTAACGTCTTAATGACTGTAAAATATTCATTTTTTAAAGGGGTATTACATACTTAACTATCTCCTTATTTATGGTTAAAATTTATTTCAAAAAACCTGTAGAGAGGAATATAGAAATATTTTTTTAGAAAATTATTAAAAATGTGCCCTAAATTTGTGTTTCAGTGAGCATTTTTAAGTGTAAATTTCTGTTCAAATTCCAAATTATTTTCTCATTCTAAATCACCAGAAGTGGAATTGCTGGGTAGATGGCTATAAATATTTTTAAGTCTTTTGTTACATCATTGCCAGATTGTGCTCTGCAACATTTATATCAGTTTATATTTATATTCCCACCATAGATATACTAAGGGAGGCATTTGAAAAAAGCTATTCAAACATGATTAATCACTAGTCAGGGAAGGTTTACACAAGAAACAGTCATGATAATTCTGGACTTTTCTGAGCTCGAGCAATGTTGGTTTTTTGTTTTTTGGGTTTTTTTTTTTTAAGATGTATTTATTTTAGAGAGCATGTGCAAACAGGGGGAAGAGCAGAGGGAGAGGGAGACTCCTCAAATAGACTCCCCACTGAGCACGGAGGCTGATGTGGGGCTCTGTCCCAGGACCCTGAGATCATGACCTGAGCTGAAATCAGGAGTTGGCCCCTTAACCAACTGAGCCACCCAGGCGCCTCCAGTGAGCAATGTTGTTTTTTGGGCACGTGCGACAACAGGGTGTTTTCATCTAGGAAAAAAAAGCCATTACTGCCTATAACTCACAAGCAAGGTTATTTAAAAACCAACAATTCATTGGCTTTAAACTTCTCATTAATCTGTCAAAAAATAACAGTGCATAGTTTGATTCAATTTAACAGGTATTGCAGGTTTTGGTTTTTAATTATGAAAATTTAAAATGATACATTTTAAATATAGATGCCATGTAAGTGAGTTCCTTTAAGTCTCATACAGACTACTGTAATGGTAGCCAATATCCAGATCTTATTGGATCCTCACAACAATGAAAGAGATGTGAAGGTAGCAGCCAGCTGTAGATTATTATACCTATGGTTATAATGAGAAGAAAACCCTGTGAATAATTTTAGACTTCCTTAAAGAAATAGAATTAACTGTTGACTAGTTCCCATATCACAAAAGGTAAATCCTTCCCCAAAGTTTGCTTTTGTAGATGAAGTCTACCTACAGGCAGTAGATAAGAATGAATAAACTGGACCCCATGTTTGCTCAACACACAGAAATTTGATTCTCTTCTTTACTCAGAGAAGCCAGTTGGGTATAGGCCAGAGAAGGAACTATTTGAGTCTTTTCCAGTCCAAAGACTGGATTCCAGTAAGATCAGAATCCCAGTCATCTGTAGATGGTGAGGTCAGTATCCCAGACTGTGGTTTATTAGAGTACAATACATAATTTCTCAATGAGTTCTAATTTTTTTCCCATCCTGGGTTTTCCAGAAAGGGAAAACATTCATGTAAGCAAGAGGCTTTGATCCAGTAAACAAATTTCTAATCCTATGTAATCTTGATAAAGAGTGGATCATTGTCTTTTGTGCATTTTACGTTGAAGTCTATAGATAGCTTTAGTGATTTCAGAAAAAGAGCTTTTGGCAGGGGTCCCATTGACCTCATTCTGAGCTAGCCTTCGAATCACAGAAGAGCTTCATTCTGGTGGAGGGACCATGAACCTAGACTGAAGGAGGGATGGGGAGATGGACCCCTTGTAAGAGAGGGGTGGTAAGGAATTGGGAAGATTAAGGGCAAGGTGTGCCCAGAAGACCTAAAGGAGATTTATTTATTTATTTATTTATTTATTTGGATGAAAGTACCTGATTTGACCCAACTAAGTATTTGCTGAGGAAACTGGAGTTGCTATAGTAAGATCACTGTCATTCAACTTCAACCCTAGAAACTGCTGATATGGTGAGATTTGGTTCTTAGATTGGCCTGGTGCTTAGCATCTTTGCTGTTTACTCAGCTCTCAAACCAAGCTAGCTGAGAAAGATGACCTAGTTCTTCTCAAGTTTTTCTCCTCTCTCTCTTTCTCCTCTGAGCTCAAGGCAAGAAAAAAAAAAAAAATGGGACTACAAAGAACAACAGTCCAGAACTAGACAGCAGACAGCACTTGGTATGGTTTTAAGAGGACTCCATACATGTTCTCTTATTAGATCCTGACAGTTCCCCTACATTTTTATTCTCATCTCATAGAAGGGAAAGACTTGAGCAATTTGTCTGAGACCTAACAACTAGTGAGCAATGGAACTGGGGCTGAAACCCAGGGATCCTGTCACCTCAGAGTACCCTCTCTGCCTCACACCCTGTCCCCTGCCACCTGGCTAATGGCTTGCAGTCACCCTCCTCACACTTGTGTTGGTGGCCACAACCTGTGCTCCCTTCACCAGACCCCCTAAGGTGCGGGCCCCTAATTTGGAGGTAGTGCTTCCTCAGTAGTCCTGATAAGTAATAGCTAACTTGCTCCCTCTAGGATGGGTGGCGTCAAGAGTAATTAACGCCGCCTCCAGCAAGGGCAGGTTTGCAGCTGGCGCCACAGCCTCATGCCAGCCACACTAGCAAACTCCCAGAACTACCCAGCAACCAAAGCCAAGTGTAAAGCTCAGTAAAACTGACAAGCCCCAGGACACTCCACTGGACTCTTTGCCCCCTTGAGCATTTGCAGTTCAGTGAAGAAAAGCATAGGAAGTTTCCAGCTGGAACTGTGCAACAGGAAAAAAGCTCTTTTTGTTAATTCAAAACAGTTTGGAATCCATTACAGTTCTCCCCAAACTTCCAATATATGGGGGAGGAAATTCACCGGGTTTTACAATGTATTTTTGGAGGCAGATTGCCATCGCCATCTTAATGACAGAGAAGCTGTAAATATTGATACAATGGCCACAGATGGCAAGTGACCAGCCTCCTCATTTACCCTGTTGAGTCTGGCTTGGTTATGCAAACCACCTCTATGGCAGCTCCTTCATTTTCCAGCCATCCCAGCCATGTTCTTTCTCTCTGAAGCAACTTTGGACAGCTGTCCTTGGAGTGATCATGTGTGCTTCTTCTGTTGAGTGGGCAGGGGGCAGGGAAGGTAGGCACAAGAAAGGGGAATT